ACCGCGTGCACTATTGTGAGATTAGATGGTGGTTGGAGGTAGTCGACAGGAAACCCTGGGCTGATGGTGACATTGCATCATGGTCGATAGCATTCGATCTGCATTAATAAAAACTTGATACATATGACATTGGTCACCACCCAGTGATCAATCAATTGTGATTACATCTCAATCCTACAGGAGGTTGATCACGGCCCGGATAGCTCAGTGGTAACGTCTCTGACTGTGAAGCTGGGTGACACGGGATCGAACCCGTCAGGGAGCACCAGTTCTCTCCAAGATTACAGGTACACCTTGCTTACGAGTGCTAAGTAGCAAGAAACCCGGGTTCAGAGTTACCTGTCGACTACCGCCAACCACCATCTAACTGAACAATAGTTTATAACTTAATTCAAATACAAATATGGATAGTGGTATCAGCAACAATCTACTGTGGGAGATAACAAACCAGATTCCAGCGGAGGAAGAAGTCAGAAAGAAGCTCTGAAAGTGGATAAGACACACATTGAGGAAAGCATCCTCATTTGGAATCCTCAAGGCTAAAGGAGAAGAGGAAGATCAAAGAACACATGATACCAAGAAATGGAGACAGATATGAGAAGAATAAATAACAATTAAATAGAAGTGGAAAAGTAGGCTCAGGACAGAGTGAGTTGGAGAATGCTGGTCGGTGGCCTATGCTCCATTGAGACTAACAGGCGAAAGTAATGGGTAGTGGCTAGCAATAGAATCAAGGATGCATGTTTCGTCCTATTTGGAACTCGTCCGCTGGATGTATCTGCATCTCAGAGTTAGTGTTCATACCAGGACTTGAACCCAGTACTTTATGCTTTAAACTCCATTGCGTTATCGACTTAGCTAATGAGTCCTACTAGCCATTTGTTTGTGAAATGGGGTGAAGTTTATATTCACCTAGTATTGTCTGTTTGAATCTTCCCACTGACGTTTAGGATTGAAATGGATCAGTCTTTTATTGGCATATGTGCATACTGTGCGTATTGCCTTAATTCAAAAGCATTCTAAATAAAGATGGATGGTGGATATGCAGAATACATACATTACAGACTATAAATCTGTTATCTGATTTCATTTTATTCATTTTCAAGAAATAGCATGACAGTAGTATTGTAGTGAACGAGAACAGAAATGGGGAAAATCGAATGTATTTGAATACAAATTTAAGGAATCTTAATAAGATCTGAGAACCATACTGTAAATACTTCATTTGCAAAATGTCAGTCCATTGTCTCGGACTTGATTGTTTATTCGTTTCCACACCAATCATTCTCTGTTCTCGTTCTATTATTTTTTCGATCTTCTTAAATTTCTACCGCTTTTGATTGATGATTTATACTACTTATATCTATCGACATCAGTAGTACATACCGCAGTATGAATTGCCATTATTTGACAGTATTGTACTTTACACTGTCAATTCGTAAAGTACTTAACACTCTATCGAATAAATTGATGAAAGTCAACTTCGTATTTTATATTATCAGTATTTGTCAATGTATGGAATAGGAAAGAATATAGGTAATCCATTAAAGTACTGGTTTAGTCTAATCATTTCAACTTTACTTCAAAGATTAAACTAGTTCTGTTGTAAATGTTTAAATTGCAGTACTGTCTTCTATGAATATTCAGGAATATACTTTGATAAAAGTTGGCTTTCTATTCTGAGGAGAGTACTGATTGTCTCAACTAAAAATTTATGAAAAGTAGAATTGAGAGTAATGAGGTAATAAACAAACTAGTGATTCCCTATGTTGAATCGTTTGCTATGATGACACATTAGGAGGAAACCAAAAGAGGAAGTTGAAAGTCGATGTAGGAGGAATAATAGAAATTGAAGAGGAAGGTTGATTATGAATACAATCGTCTTGAGTGCTATTGGAAGTATGAGGACGGTTATCACTTCCCGGTTGCTTACACTGTGGAAGGATTTCCAAGTCTATCTAATACGAATTGTAGCAGTCACGAATAGATCAATAGTCAAAGCGAAAATAAGACAATAAACACCCTTGAAGCTATTATATTGTAATTCAAATTCAGTGTGTTATATTTTACAAAGTGACCATTACTATATGTAAACATCATATCATTGTTAGAAATCCATTGGTCATCAGCTGGAGAGTATTTAAGCTACCATTGCTTATGAAAAAAGAATGTATTTGTAGAAATCTCAGCGAATGAATTCGAAGTAAATCCAACGGTTTGCCCGGTAATCTGGTCCAAGCTTCTTCAAGGAAATATAATCAAACTGATCGAATATAAATAGGTACATGGTTCTTTAGTTCACTTTATACTGAGTAGGTCATCCAATTTCTGTTTACATCATTTACGTATACAAACAATCTGTTATCTTAACACTTTTCACACCACATGTCTCTTATACACAAATGCAAATACCTACTTTAAACATTGTTAACGTTGATTGCACCACCGTCCACCATTGTATTTAGTGAGTTACCATCTTAAAACAAACGCGGTTGAACTCCACTGGTCACTGCTTCTCGCTAGAACTCCAGGAAATACCTATTGAAGCCAGTCACTAGTGAGCATGTGCTGATTAGTATCAGAAGGGGTTTTTGTGGATATTATAGCAATTTAATAGTTGAGTTCATGAGTCAATTGGAGCTAGATAACCATAGAAAACCTGGACGGTTGTTTCATCCTATCGTGAGACTCCTCAGCAGTGCGTATCCACGACCCTAACTCGCGAGATTCGAACATAGGACCTATCAGTAGCGCGCGAACGCTTAACCTCTAGACCACTGTGTCTTTAATGGAAAAATTCACTTTAGAGTACATAACAGTTGATATGCATTTTGACATTGTCTAGGAATCCAATAAAATCATGAGACCTAGTTTTCAGATTTAAATAAATGTACATAGGTAAATCAATCACCAAGGGATAAATCACATTGTGATGAGAGTTGTGAGTGCGTACTTCTTAGGAATCCTATTCTAAGATGAACTAAATATCCAGTGTTTATTAGCTTCTCATAGTTCTCTAACTAATGTCTCTCTCTCTCTCTCTGTGGTAATTTTAATTATTATAAATGGGTTAAGTAATTTCGGTGTTAACTAACTACTATATATAGAGCTGATAAGTGAATATCTACTGTGCATTTAAGAGTTTGTGATTACTGAATTTCCTATCAACATTATGAAACTGACTATAGAATGCACGAATGTCAATACAATGATACGGAGAACTTTCCATTATTTCTGAAAAACTTACCAATGAAACGTCCTAATCTACTGGATATGTTGCTTAACTGAACAATCTTTTTTACTCAGTTATACTTAACACACAATTACATTGACAAATATTCTGTTTATCCAGTTGTACAGTTACTAAAAATCCAATATGTGGCTGACTACCTCCTTCTGAGGGTCTTTTGATTTAAATCGACCTTATTTGAGTTTATTCATGTAAGTAAACGAGGAAGCGTTTGACAACGTGGATAAGAGAATCCTCTTCGGCACTATGGTGTACACGAAATCGTCAATATTGTACGGAATTCATAGTTGAAGAGCATATAGAACTCAAAACAACTGTCAACCAATATCACAGTCAGAATCTTCATAACGAACGTCAAGACAGTCCTACTGTACAGAGCTGAAACGTGAACAACTACTATAACTATCATGAAAAAAGTACAAGTATTTACAAACAATTGTCTACGCAAGACACTTAATATCCGTTGACCGGATACCATCAGCAACAGCCCACTATGGGAGAGAACAAACCAACTTCCAGCTGAAGAAGAAATTAAGAAAAGACATTGGAAGTGAATAAGACACACATTGAGGAAATTATCAAACTACATCACGAGGCAATCGCTAACTTGGAATCTTGGAGGTGAACAGAAAAGAGGAATGCCAAATAATACACTTCACTAAGAATTAGAAGTAAATATCGAAAGAATGAATAGCAACTGGAAAGGATTGTCCAGGACGGAGTTGGATGGAGATTACTAGTTGGTGACTTATATTTCTCCACGAAAAGTAACCGAGTACCAACAATAAATATAAATAAAAACAGAGTGATAGAGACATTTCTTAACGTATAATTTGATTATTGATATCAACTGAAGAATTAAGGTGGTTTATAAACAATAAATAAATAGACAGAAAAAAACCCACCGTAAACACGAAGTTTTCCCACCTGTATAATGTCATAGAATAGTGAACAAGAATACGAGTAAGGGCAATCGAATGTAGTTGAGCACAACATAAGAGAATATCTCATTAAAAATCTAAAAACCATACCATAAATACTTAATTTGCAAAATATCAATCCATTGACTCAAACTTGGTTGTTTCTTTAGCAAATATCAATCCATCGTTTCAGATTTCATTGTTCCTACATTTTCATACCAATTGCCTTCCGTTCTCATTCTTTCTTTCTCGATCTTCCACTGAAATACATTCTATGCCCGACCATCACAATTGATTGATCACTGGGTGGCGATCAATGTCATGCGTGTCTAGTCCTTATTTAGTGCAGATCGAATGCTATCAACCATGTTGCCATTCGGCCACCATCGAATCTGCCAGGGAACACCAGTTCCATCAGGATTACAGATACACCTTACTGACGAGTGCCAAGTAGCACGAAACCCGGGTCCAGGGTTTCCTGTCGACTACCTCTAACCACCATCTAATGCCTGACCATCGTTATATACTACTTATGTAAATATAAGTAGCTCACACTACAATAGTACCCACTTAAAAATGTATACGATCTAGTAATACCATAATGCCAGAAAGAAAACAATTAAAATCTCCAACAATGTAATCTAATTCTGTATTTCATTTCCCAGATAATTAAAGTAAACAAAGGTGAAAGTATTACAGATGAGAAAGATTAACTGGAATCTACATACATACACTCACCCATACATGCATACATACATAGGTAGAGGAATAGTACAATACCAAAAACTGTATTATGCATATAAAACTTCTTTATTTTTATATTATTCTGTTTACATTTCTTCAACATAATCCCCTAATATTGGGTTTCGAATATCATCAAGACTTTGGATGATTTTAAGTTCGATTCGTGCAGATTGAGAAAGGTTCAATGATTCTTTAAAAAAAAGAAAGAAAGATCAGTTTACACCAAACATAATTGAGGAATAACAGTGAAATATATTTGTAGGGAGAAAAATCAATAGTTTAAAAAACCATTTTGAGATCTTATAATGTTAGTGCCATTAGAAACTCTTTGATTAGCACAGTACTTACTTACTTACGCTTGTTACTCCTCGTGAAGGAGCATAGGCCGCTCACCAGCATTCCCCATCCAATTCTGTCCTGAGCAATCCTTTACAGCTCCTTCCAGTTGTTATTCATCCTTTTCATATCTGCTTCTATTTCCCGACGTAATATGTTCTTTGGCCTTCTTTTTTTCCGCCTTTCTCCAGAATTCCAAGTTAGGGCTTGCCTAGTGATGCAGTTTGACGATTTGCGTAATGTATGTCCTATCTATTTCCATCGTCTTTTCCTAATTTCCTCTTCGGCTGAAAACTGGTGTGTTCTCTCCCACAAAAGGTTGTTGCTGATGGTATCCGGCCAATGGATGTTGAGTAGCTTGCGTAGACAGCTATTTATAAATACTTGTACCTTCTTGATGGTGGTTGTTGTAGTTCTCCAAGTTTCGGCTCCGTACAGCAGAACTGCCTTGACATTCGTATGAAAGATTGTGACTTTGATATCCGTTGAATGTTGTTTTGAGTTCCATGTTTTTCAATAGTAGGAATGCTGTCCTTGCTTCACCAATCCTCGCCTTTACGTCTGCATCTGAACCTCCTTGTTCATCGATGATGCTTCCCAGGTATGTGAATGATTCCACATCTTCCAGAGTTTCGCCATCAAGAGTGACTGGATTGCTGTTCTTCGTTTTGAATTTGAGGACCTTGGTTTTCCCCTTGTGTATGCTGAGGCCTACTGATGCAGAGACTGCTGCTGCACTGGCTGTCTTTATCTGCATTTGTTCATGTGCATGCGATGGGAGGGCTAGGTCATCTGCGAAGTCCAAATCGGCTAATTGATTCTCAGCTGTACATTGTATGCCGTGTTTTCCCTTCAGATGTCGAGGTCTTCGTAATCCAGTCGACCACCAGAAGAAAGAGGAAGGGAGAGAGTAGACAGCCTTGTCTGACTCCGGTCCTTGCTTGGAATTCATCTGTCAGCTGTACTCCATGCACGACCTTGCACTGTAGTCCGTCGTATGAGTTCCGGATAATCTTGACAATCGTCTCAGGAACTCCGTAGTGTCACATAGTGTTGAAGGTTAATTAACTTGATGTTACCATTTCCTCTAATCTCTTTTGGTCTTCTCATGTTTTACTGTTATTGAAGAAAGTTTTTCGTCTGACTGCATGCTCTTGGGATTATTCGTCATTTACTCTTACAATTTGTCGATTCCTGTATATTATCTATTATTCTTTACTGTTCTACTTATTCTTTTCCGGGTTTTTAAGAAAAGACTTCGCTGTATTGCAGAGAGTGCTGAAGGCATTTAGTAAGGTGTGCGATGAATCTTTCGAGGTCATTATTAATATGGTTATGGATAGACATCTAAAGTCTTGCAAACTCCTGGCAGGTGTTATCCTATTAGATACTAACCATCCCCTTCACTCTTATCTTTCTCCTTGTATATCTTCTGGTAGGATGAGACGTCAATGCATTAAAATCCATGCATTTAAGTATAAAACTCCTATAACACCTTACCTAGCAAATATACTCCGTGACGAACAAGTTGTTAGAGCTAACCTAGTCAATAACCTGTCTTCTTAAACATGTCTCTAACGTGGAAAATTGTACAGTATTTTTTAGATCTTTTTTCCACTCTTTTCCTTTTGTTATTGTTGTTTTTTTGTAGAAGGAACTTGTTGAAATACCCTGTGCTGAGAATTCTATATTGTACCAAAATATAATATTGAATAAACCCATCAATAATAAAAAAATATCACGAAGGTCATTTGCTGATGGGAAACAATGGAAATTACCAAGTTTCACAAAATTTCTTATACTAATAATAATCATGTGCTTAGTAGTGATTAATTTCAAGAGGTTAATCCGGGATTTCTATTAAAAAGTTGCCACCAGTGAAGTTCAATCGTGTTGGGTGTGAGATAGTAACTCACTGAACACAATGGTGGATGGTAGCTCAATTTCGTGGATTAGTTGAAGTTAGACATTAACACCATTCGATGCCGGCTCAGTGGTCTGGAGGTTAAGCGTTCGCGTGCGATATCAATAGTTCCTGCGTTCAAATCTCGCAGGGCGGGGATCGTGGATGTGCACTTCCGAGGAGTTTCATACTAGAACGAAACGACCATTCAGTGCTTCCAAGTTTTCTATGGTGGTCTAGCTTCAATAGACTCATTAACTCAACTATGAAATTACTATAATATCCACAAAACCCCTTTCTGATATTAAATAATTGTTCTGTTAAGATGTTAGATTCGAGATTTTAGTGTGAATACGATTCATTTTGGTGTAAAACGTAATGAGAACGTAATAAGAGAAGAAATGGTAGATTATATTTATAATTAATCAATAGTTTTTATGGTCCATCTACCTATACTCTATCTATTCAAATTATTTGGGCTTGTTCATATATGTAGGCTTTTGAACTGTAGTTAATTATTTAAAATAATTAAATATCTTTTTGAAGGATTTGTGTTCCATCAAAGTTAATCATGTATCGTCTTGTTTCGACTGAAATCAGTCAGCTTTTTTCTAGTTAAGTGTCGGACGATTGCTCTGTAACAGTCATAAGAGGATTTTTGTACTTTCTTGTAAATGTAGACGATCAGTGATCAAGACCAGTCATATGGGATCACATTCAAATGAGTAATAATCATAGACGGATCTTATAGAACAAATCAAACCAACTAACCTCCTTCGGATATTCTTAATGTTTTTGATAGAACAGTTTGGATTGTACTAAGAACCGATTGGAAAGCATCCTAAACAAAGAAAAAAAAGTGAAACAGGTACTTGTTAACTAAAAAGAGGATAAAACAAAAAAACAGGTTGCGAAATCATGATCCCATAACCTAAAAATTATTTAGTGCATTTTTAATCCATTTTAATGCCCAAATGTCCTGGTATGGCCGAAAGTGGGGTGGGCCCACCCTCCCTCTCGAAATGCTCTCGCACGGCCACACGTATACAGCCTCTGACAGGGAAGTCCTACTCGCTGACTTCTCTCGACATTACTATTGTTTACGAAATTGAGAGGGCTAAAAGCGAATGTCCAGTGCTTTAACCGGGCCGGTGGGCAAGGTGAGTCCACCTAGGGCAGTTGGGAAACCCTGATTCCAAACCAATGGTGGACATGGGCTCCAGTATACTGAGGGAACAAATGGCGCATAAACCAATCGTTGGTCACCGGACACCATGGGACTGCATCTCCTGACGTTGATCCACTGCCTTGTGGGTCAGACCTTTAAGTCAAGGGCTCGGGGTGTGGCTCCCTAAGAAAACCACCTGCTTCGGTCTGAGCACCCGGGCAGTATCACAGTCCACAAACAAATAAAATGAAATAAAATGAGTAAGAAAATATTTTATGGTTAGAACTAAAACAACAACAGATCATGCTGAATTACTTTGAAGGAACATTTAGGTACTTGTTGTCCATTTTCATTCTCAATTTTTGTCTCTAAATGAGCTAATGTTAAAGCAGCGAATAAATCTCCAGTTCCAATAAAATGGTAATCAAAATGTGGAATTTTAAAACGTACACGATCGTATTCTGTAAAATTTGGAAACAAAAGAACATTTAAAACCTTACAAAAGATTCAAAATAATAATAGTACAATACCAATGATAACAAATAGACAGATAAATGGTGTAATATTGGAATTCCAAACCGAAAAATGCATTTTTTTGGAAATCGTTTTTACTACTGACATCATCATCAGCTGGAATGCGTATTAAAATCACCATTTTATGACAATTTCATATTAACAAACGGGGTTTGTGGAGATTTTACAAATTTCACAGATTGAAATCATGAGTCAATTGAAGCTAGACCACCATGGAAAACCTGGAAGCACTGGACGGTCGTTTCGTCCTAGTATGGGACTCATCGGCAGTGCGCATCCACGATCCAGGTTTTTCATGGTGGTCTACCTTTAATTGACTCATGATTTCAATCTGTGAAATTTCATATTAAGTAAATTTGTAAGAGTCATCTTTACTTTGTTCGAGCCACCAACTTCATGGTTCGAGAGAAGATATTTATAGACAGTGGCAAAAAAACTAGTTATTATTTATTTATTTAAACACACAAACATTCGTACAAAAAGGCACCGAATAGATATGCGCCACATAAATCATTCCATTTATGTGAGAGCTGGGATACTGTATTAATGCCCAAATCGAAGCAGTTAGTTTCCTTAGATGGACATATCCCGAGCCTTCGACCTAAAGGTCTAATCCACAAGGCAGTAGAGCAACGTCAGGAGATGCAGTCCTATGGTAGCCGGTGATCAATAATTGGTTCATATACAACTTGTTCCTTTAGGATCTTGGAGCCCATGTACACCATTAGCTTAGAATCACGATTTTCCAAATCCCTTAGGTGGGTCCTCCATATCCACCGGCCCGATTAAAGCGACGAACATTCGCTTTTTGTCCTCTCAATTTCGTAAACAACAGTAATGCCTAGAGAAGGCAGTGAGTAGGACTTCCCTGGCATTGGTTGCATGCACGTAGAGTATTCGAGAGGGAGAGCTGACTCGCCTCACTTTCGGTCGTACCACGGCATTTGGGGGTCTGGTTGATATTTTTCTACTGAGTTAATAATTGAAAGGTAACAATCTGTTGTAAATTTCGTGATAATATAACTAGAGATAAATCAAATTGTCTAACATTGGGGAATTTCGTTAATCATATAACATAGATAAACTTAGTAGCTTCAAGAAAAAGTAAACAGATAAGCAAGTATATGAGTTCAGAATGAATTACTTGAAGTGTTGTTCGTAACTGAACCATTCGTTTGATTTAACAAATCACTACTACTATTATTATTCATTGGATTCTTCAAACGGCTTCCATAACCATACATTACTGGTGATAAAGTTACATTAGTACTTGTAATAATTACAGTTGGGATATGATATTTTTTATGTAAGTGGTTGATACAACTTAAAGCAGACTTTTCATCCGTTATTCGTATACCACTTAGTATTCTGTTGTAATAAAGAGTAATACATAAAGATAGACAAATGAGACTTACAAATTAATGCATAGTACAATGCATGATTTACATAATATTATGATTTATTTATGGAAGGAGTATTTTATTAACTGAGTTACGCGTTTAAACGCTAGGCGGCTTCATTTATTTTGGCGAGTTTATGATCTTCGTTTTGAGCTACATTTCAATTGAAAACTAACAATGGGATACAGCTGTTCAAATCTGTGGCATATTGGCTGGAAGCCTAGTGCTTTAAGACTATTATTAGTCCTTACCTACAAACATTGGCTGTGTTGGGACCGCTGAATGAGGAATGTTGACGATAGACACAGGTTATTAAGGAAAGATGGCAAATAGGTTGATGAGATAGGTAATCAATTTTAATCGACTGAGGTAACTGGGACGTGTATTGAGTATCCCTAACTATCGCCTACCTCGATGTGTGCTGTTAGCTGAAGTAGGAGTTGGTTTCGGGCGAGTAAATTCAAGCACAAAATCAGTCGTGACGTAACTGACTATTCGACTGAGTCGTGTACGTAGGTAGAGACTACCTGGTTAGAGTCTACATAATTATCGTAATCAATGGCGTAAGACATTGTATGATATGGCTCAGAATAGGTTAAAATGATGCAGATGCATTCACCATTCATCTTCAGGTCTTGAGTTCCAAGATTACATTGTACGTCTTAGTTCGCGAATTCATTCTTTCTTCTAGAATTACACTGTCTAGGCCTAGTACCTCCTGATACAACTGATACTGCCTCTAATACTCCGGCATTTGCCTTGACTGTTTAATTCTGTTCTGATAGTCTGGTAACTTGAACAGAAAGACGTGTTACGATACACGTAGCTTACGACTGGCGGGCATCAAAAAATATCTATAGGAAGACAAATCATATGTACAGCTACCATTCAACAATGACAGTAACAACAGATAAACCTTACTCTGCTTCAAATTGGTTTGGCAAAATGACATCTGATAAAGGGAGTATTTTTTCTTGGTATATCTGGACGAGTTCGGGTGGAACGTACTGATATAAATAAAATAGTTGAAAAACGTTTAGTTAAAGTTGACGAAAAACAACAATAACACTTCAAAAAAAGACTGGAAAAAGTACAAGAATATGGACACCAAGTGGAGTGGGGGAGTAAACTAAATAATAATGGCAAAATTAGTCATTTTCCAATATATTCTACTCTTATGAGGCTCTATGTATCTTTTATTTTAAATAGTAGCTAGTTTGATTTTAAAAGCTGGGCGCTGACTAATTGTAAGCACTTGTCAACGGCTACTGAAATCGTCAGAAAAACAGCACAAAGCATGTTGAGAAAATATAATGATGCGAATATAAACAAACTAACTGTTTCTAAATAATGACAATTTCAAGATAAGTTGAATATGCATAATCTAGGTAAAAGTGCGGCGAGATTATAATTTATGGATGAACCAATCACATGTAAGATAACAGGTCTCGGGTTTTGGCGCGAAATTCACCCATTCATTTGGATAAATAGAGTTTTCGTCATTATAGCTTATGTTAGTTCGTGATGAAAAGTCGAAATCTAATTTCTAAGCTTAATCATGGACTGTAAATCCTAATTCTAATTCCTAAAAAGGATTCATATTCCTCATTTGATCCTGGTTATTAAGTGAACACTCAAGGTCAATCTAGCATCGCTCAAACGTCGTCCATAAATTGTAGTCTCAGCAAAAGTACTACTAAATCATTGTGGTTACTGCATATAAGCTATGTCATTGTTCGTCGTGAATACATTAGTGAAAACAAACGGAGCAGGAATTTAAACCACGAACAATTCATAGCGTACGCAAACTAGATAATAGAATTGATAGTTGTATATGAATCACTTAAAAACCATTTTAGTCGAAAACAAAATAACAAGAAAACTGAAGAAACTTTGTCTTTGATATCCATATTTTTCACTTTAAACTGTTGGATATTATCATCGGTGCTTGACTACAATATGGCCCAAAGCAGGGTACACAAAGTCAGTCACTTCATTACATTGACATGAATATAAAAATATAGATTTTTGAAGTTAAAACCTTTATGTTAGGTGTTTGCCAAAACAAAATGACTTGTTAGGTGACCATACTATCCAAACGAATTGTAGTTTATAAACGATTGCTATATTTTCTTACACATATGTCTTCTCAGTTCTCTTGAGTCAAGCAAAGATTCGGTGCATCATTTTTACTCTCATTTATCATAAAAATTTACCGTTTTCTGGACGACCAGCATCGACATAAGCTACATCACCAGAATGTTATATTAATAAACTTATTAACTGAAACTAATCTGAGAGCCCAGTTAAAATATATGGGGCTGAAAGTATAACATAGACGAATAGGTAGGAGGCTAAGTATGGTTATGGCATGGCCGAGATATTAGGTCACCTTTCGTACTCCAAATTATTGGCTTTCAGTCTTTATCAATGTCTGAACTCCTGAGAATGTTGACCGTAGTAGGCACGATAGGCACTTTAGAAATGATCGGACAGAGAAACTCACAAGCTTTCCATTATCACCTAGGACGGGATCGCAGTCTATTTGAGTAAACTTTACCAAATTATGTGTACTTACAATATTTTATATTTGAGTTCTCTTTTTTGAGGTCGGATACAATATCTGCGACCGCTTCTAAAGAGCTTGATGACCCCAAGTAACCTAGAAACCGGGAAACGAACAATTTAAAATGATATTAACTAGTACCTGTGAGCACATGAGTATACTTGTTGAGGCCATTCGCCTTCAAACCAAGATATAAATCTTTCATGCTCGCAGCATCCAACACCTGCCCCTTGACAAAAGCATAGCCTGTATACGTTATAACTAGTAGTACGCAAACCTGTGTGATTTGAAAACTGTACAGAGTTAATATAGTCAACTTCTATGCCTAAGACCTATAAAACAAAAATATAACAAGAAGAAACTAACTTGCAAAGGAAAAACAGCTATTTTATTGCCGACATATCCATGGACAACATGACTTTGTATGCAGAGGACCCGTAAGCAATTAAGTGCAACTTTAACTGCCATCCTAACTTCATATAACGTTCAGCCTTTGATAGCTTAAGTCTAAACAAAAGAACATGAGTAAACGCAGATCGATACTTGACAGACACATAGGATGCACATACATTCGATAACCAAAAAAACAATTGGAGAAAATTACAAGTGATACAAATATAACTAGAAGTCAACAAAAAAGGATTGTAAATACTCTACATTCGATTATAACGGGCACATTCAAGGAAAACGAGCTGGATGTGACCTGAAGGTCATAGTACTGTAAAACTATTCAATACTCAATCACATTTTGTTTTCCATGTGCCTAAGTACAATTTACAAAACTTCGACCTTATTTGTCACTCTCCAGCGGTGACTTATTTTGAATTGCTGTGATTGTTAACCTTCCGTGAAATTAAACGGACAGATACACCGAGAATTCACTCATACATGTCATCTCCGAACAAGTATGAAGATACAGTTTTTCGGAGTTTTTTAGAGGCCGAATGTGGACGTCTTGCTTTTTCATCTCCACTCAGAGCGAAAGAAATGTCGCCGAAGGTACGTTGGAAACCAGGAAAACGAACCAAAAATGAATTTGTAGGGCTAATGAAATATCACAGGGCCCTAGACAAATCATCCAGCAGTTGGGTCACTGAATAATAAATAGTTTGCCGATTGTTGTCAAGGTCAGGGAAAACCGCCGCGCACCAAGCAGTTTCGCGCCATGGACTAGCCGGCACGGTGAAAAATAATTTCTGCCGTTTTCGCCCACGAGGAACGCGTTATCATGTACATCGCCGAGTCGATAATAGTCGACCTAATGCTGCAGTTTTGCTACTGTGTTGATTTTGGTGTTTTCTGAATAGTTTAAGCTCATACTTTATGGAAAAGAACTTTGCTGTATACTAATGATGATACTTTATTTGTAAAATTGTTTCATCAGCTTTAATCTCGTCTCTCAAGTCAACCCAAACGCTCTGGTATGGCAGAGAGTGGGTGGCTTCGCCCTCCCACTCGAAATACTCTCGTACGGTCACGCGTATACAGCCTCTGCCGGTAAAGTCCTACTCATTGCTTTCTCGTGACGAGGGGTTGTTTGCGAAAATGATAGGACGAAAAGCGAATGCCCGGCACATTAACCGGATTCCAAACCAATGATGCACATGGGCTCCAGTATCCTGCGGGAACAAATGGTCACCGGCTACCATGGGATTGCATTTCCTCACGATGCTCCACTGCCTTGTGGGTTAGACCTTAAAGTCAAAGGCTCGGAACGTGGCTCCCTAAGAAAACCACCTGCTTCGGTTTGGGCACCTGGGCAGTATCACAGCCCACACACAAAAACATGATAAACTATTTAATTATGAAAAATATTCCTCTCGCTCCAAATAACAATCAAATGACTCGCACTATTATTATTACTATTATTGTTATTATTATTATTGTTTACTACGTCATTATTCACCCTCTTTTATCCCCACTCTGTTTATACTTATTTGTTCGACTTATACAGCAACTCGCCTATGGTGGAAACTCCGTTCTATCTAAACGTTCTCGAGTCACTGTCCGGTTGAAAATTGTATGTTACCACCGAATACGAGTACTGAAGCAGTGTTTCTCAAACCACTTGCACCATTCAAACTGGCTGCCTTCAACGTTCGCACACTTATGCAGGTTGGACAACAGATAGGGCTGTCAATGTCTTTAGAAAGTCTTAATATCGATGTCTGCTGTCTATCCGAGACCTGTATTCAAGACTCTGGCGAAGTACTACAAATTCGATCTCCATCTGTCGCTTCGAAAAGCTTGTTTTACGTGCGTTTATCCGGGGACCCTGTGGCATCTTCGTCTGGTCTTGCTGGAATTGGTGTCACACTAAGCGCTAGAGCTGAGGCAGCACTAGTCGATGGTTTCCCCATTAACAGTCAGTTATGTGATGTCATATTAGGGAGTTCCATCAAGGTGAGAAGAAATCGGCATGAGAAACGATGTCTTCTCGTCATCTCCGCTTATGCCTCGATAGTTTGCAGCCCGGATGCAATCAAGGATAAATTCTACTACAAGTTAACTGTTCTTCTCCAGAAAGTACGTTCGACAGATGTTGTAGTACTAGCTGAGGACTTGAATGCTCAGGTCGGGCGTCTAGGCACAGAAGAGAGTCGTTTAGGTGGCCGATGGGGACTCGTTGGTCGCAGGTCAGATAACGGGGACCGTCTACTGCAACTGTGCACAGACCACAACCTGTTTCTGGCTAGTACTAACTTTCGGCACAGTCATCGCCGATGTGCCACCTGGCGTCCTCCCTCTGCATCTCAAGCCTGGACTCAGATTGATCACATCGCGATCAGCTACCGCTGGCGTGGTTGTGTACAAGACTGACGCTCCTTTTGGAGTACCTATCTGGACTCTGACCATGCTTTGGTCTGCGCCAATCTTGCCTTACTTTTCAGTGGACAACGAAGTGACCGCCATAAACGGATTGATGTCAGCAAGCTGATTGCAACTTCTGTTGCTAGTAAGTATCGAACCGAGCTAGTTTCTAGGCTAGCAACCATTCCACCGAAAAGTATAGATGAGCATTGGTTGCTACTTCATGACGCCATGAAAATAGCCAGTAAAGCCGCTTACGGCTTCGCGAAACGTACCGCTTTTAAGCACTGGGTTTCTTCAGGCTCCATACAACTCGTTGAAGCCCGTCGGTCTACTCCGGGTGACCGTGAGTTTGACCACAAACAACGATTGTTACGTAATGAAATTGAGCAAAGTTTGCGTAAGGACCGAGAAGCCTGGTGGTCGAAGCGTGCTAATGAGTTGGAAGCAGCAGCTGCATCTGGTAACTACCGGAAGCTCTTCCAACTCATTCAAGCCACTGGCAGCAAGAAGTCTGGTGTGAGCGAAACAATCTGCGAGGATGATGGGATGCCAATCACTAACATCCATAGACGTCTTGGACGATGAACAGAATTCTTTGAAAGGCAGTTCAACGTGCCTGCTGCTCCGGCAACATAAGCTGGACTGTCCTGCTCTCCATTGTCGGCGACGACTGATCCACCAAATGAGGCGGAAGTCCGCAAAAAACCCCAACTCTTGAAGCGTTACAAATCACCTGGCCCAGGTGACTTACCTCCGGCTCTTTTTAAAGATGGTGGTAACTTTCTGGCTAAGGAACTGATGACGTTGTTTACAAAGGTTTGGGAACTAAAGAGTGTACCAACGTCATGGAATGAGTCGATAGTTGTCCCTATCTTCATGTTCATGTTGTTCCTGTAACAACTATCGGGGGATAAGTCTACTTCCGATTGCGTCCAAGCTATTGGCTTCCATCATACTTCGTAGGTTGTTCAAAACCCGAGAAAGATTGACTCGCGAGGAGCAGGCTGGGTTTCGTTCTGGTCGAGGATGTATTGATCATATCTTCACCCTCCGCCAAATGTTAGAACACCGCCATACTTATCAAAGGCCAACAATCGTAGTGTTTCTTGATATCAGGGCTGCCTTCGATTCGTTGGATAGGACTGTTCTCTGGGATTGTCTATTGAAGGAGGGTGTGCCTGAGAAGTTTAATAACATCTTGTAAACCCTATATACAAACATCTCAGGCAAAGTGAGGGCATACATATTGTTTTACTGTGCGATAATGCCCAAGGCATGCAATCGGCACTTAATCAGTTGGCAATCAGTGTCCGTAGGTATGGTATGTGCTTTGCACCTTCAAAGTGCGAAGTACTTCTACAAGACTGGCAGGACCCTGAGCCTGTACTCACCCTGGATGGTGAGCAGATCGAAATAGTCGAGAAGTTCGCGTATCTAGGTAGCTGCACAAGTGCTGGTTGTGGCGTGAGTGATGAGATAGCGAAAGCCAGAACTGTTTATACTAATTTGAGCCATCTTTGGCGCCTTCTTGAGGTCAGTCTGGCTGTAAAAGGTCGGATCTACAACGCGTCGGTGAGAGCAGTTTTGCCCTATGTTTGTGAAACCTGGCCTCTCCAAGTTGAAGATGTTAGACGACACTCTGTGTTTGGTCATCGTTGTCTCCAAAGGATTTCTGACATCCAGTGGCAACACTATGTTCGGGATCGTGCGTTCGGGTGCAGAGACGATAATGCAGTGGGTGTCACTATCTTGAAACACCGACTTCGGTGGCTTGAACATGTTCTACGAATGTCGTCCTAGAGAATTTCACGTCGTGCGTTATTTGCCGACACATGGACTGGTTGAAAAAAGCGGAGAGGTGGTCAGTGTATGACAGTGTCGTGGTATAAAAGAAAGCTTCAAAGGGCTGGCTTGTGTTTGTCCTTCTTGACTCCCTGGTTGGCGTCCTAGAGATGGTGCAACACAGTGGCTAGAGACGTTATCAAATACGTTCAGAATAGAAGCCAGTGGCGATCCTGCTGTAACCTTCTTTTACTTTCCTCATAAAAAGTGGTTGTGTCTCCCTTAACTAAAAGATTTCTTCTGGTTGTACCTTCCCGTTCCCCCATTATTACTGTTATTATTACTCTACCTTACACCAATCTGTTCGTTATTGTCCTCTTTTTCCTTCACTCTCCTAACTTTTTTCCCTTGTCTTTGAATTCTCATTGTTTTGTGTGGCGCATATATATTTGGTGCCCTCTTGTACCAATATTTTTGTGTTCAAATAAATAATAATTATAATTTCATTGTTAAACAGGCTCACGCTGATGTATGCCTTGGATTTAACCCGGATTTCTGTTCTTCAGCATCTAGCAAGTTAATTTTGATATCTTTTGATCATTCACAGAA